TTTTGAAGTAAAGAAGCATTCAATTGGATCGAAAAGTTAGTAAGAGAAATGGTTTTGTTGTTGTGATCAAGATTTCAAACTGTATGGTAGTTGTCATAGAAGACTAAGGATATATCTTAAATATGTTCAATAGAATAAAAATAAATATATAAGAAATGTTCAACTTAATACGTGAAAGGGTAATTCGTGTAGACAAATTGGACTGAGCTAGTAAAATTATCTTCGGAGTTTAGGCTGCACGTTAGGCCAAGATAAGAGCTCGGATAGCTCGGTTCTGGGCCGAATGGATACTAGGCTAGGCAATGGAATTGGACCTAGCTATCTATGTACATGTCGTAAACAAACCGAGACGGCTTTGGTGAAGAAGGCCGAGCCAACTTTAGCTCGGCGGATCATTATTTGGCTGTTTGCACGGTTTGGTCAAAGGAATAGCGAAACCTGGTTGCTCGGTTAGGCATGGTTAACCGAGAAGGGTGTTTGGCCATCTCACTTGACTTGCAGTGAGGGGGGTGTCCCAGGTATAAGCATAATCCTTTGGGACTGTGATTCCTAGGAGGACTATGTTAAGGAGAGTTCGAGTCCTACTAGGGTTATGCCACGTGGAATCTATAAAAGCTCACGATAGAACCTATTTCCAGGTATTGCAATTCTTACTCTCGAATATATAGAGCTTTTTGTTTGTTGTCTACTTGCTAACTTAGGCATCGGAAGGGTTTCCGGCACACACTCGCTAGCAGGTTCACGTTTGTGTTTTCAGGTGATTGGACGACGACGTTTAAAGAAATGCAAGCTTGATCAATAGGATTATACGAGAAAAATTATTTTGTGTTCGTACAATTGGCGCCGTCTATGGGAACATACAAAGAACTTACCTCTTGATTAAGTTTTCTTTCAACTAGTTTCTATGGCGCACAACAAAGACTTGCCCCAGTCTACCGTTGATAGACAGACTCCAGAAGGGAATAAGAGGCGTGAGGATTTACCTTTTGTTCCGCTCATAGGAGACTTAGACTCTCAGCGACGGAACCGTCATAAGGGTGCACGGGAAAAGCAAGGCTTGAGTTCTCATCGCTCTCAAAGCCTAAATGAACAAAGAAGAAGGACAGATGCCCAAGTTCTGGAGGATCATGTGAGGGAATAAGATGAATTAATTAAGAGAATGGTGGCTGACATGGAAACCATGAAACGCCAGGTGAAAGGCAAAGGCATGGTAGAGATGGAAATCCGTGAAGACAGAACGCGTCCTCGCCACTAGAAGAACACGATATGTAAGCCATGCCAACACATTCTGAGAGCAAAAGCCTCTAGACAAGCGATATGCGTTCAAGGACCTCCAGGACTTATTATTCTAGGTACGAGAGAACAAGGACTAAAAGGTCTTGGACGGAGGGAAGCAATTGTCGACCCTCACATACTCACCAAACCACCTTTCAACACATCGAGCTGCCCAAATCGATGGATCTACGAACCATTCTAGAAAAAAAGGCACGAAGGAGAAAAGATGCCCAAGTCCATGACCTTCAAAGGATCTCAGCTCTGCAGGGGCTAGCGCTTAGGACGTGCAGAAGTATCGAGGTTGGAATGCCAGTACAGTGCCTTGCCTATGAACCAGCCAATAGGGCATCAGTAGTTGCAGAGCTCACCATTCGTTCCGGTGATAGAGAATGCACCACTGCCCTTGGGCTTCAACCAGCCTAAGTTCACGATCTACAACGAGAAGTCAGATCCTTACATGCATTTAAGCCACTTTCGCCAAGTTATGGCCATACACTGGTGGAACGAGGCTCTTCTAATGTGCATTTTGTTCCCATCCAGCCTTGGAGATTTGGGCTTTAACTTGGTTTGAAAAGTTGCCAGAAGGCAGTATTGCTTTCTGGGCGCAACTTGCAGAGGCGTTTGTTACTAGGTTTAAGACAAACACCAAAACGCCAGTTTAGATAGATCAGTTGCTCACCATCGACATGGACAAGAAAAAAACATTGAAGTCTTACAATAACAGACATTGGGAGACCTTTAACCAGATAGGCGATTGCCCCACCAGCGTAGCTATCGTGCAATACAAGCAGGGTTTACCAGTGGGCCATAAGTTGAGAAATTCAATGATAATGGTGTCACTCCTCACTATGGAAGCCCTGATAGAGAAAGTGCACCAGCACATCAGGGTAGATGAAGATGGTGCTCGCACCAAAGTGAAGTCCAACACAACAGTGATGTAGGACAAGAAACCTACAAGAAAAGGTAATATGGTCAAAAAGAAGGGCCGACCTAACAACAACAATCGCGGTGCACCACCCAATGATGAAGACACCAAGGGAAGGAGGTTGAGGGTCTGCACCACCATTACGACTGTTTTCAAGAAGCCCATCTACCGAATCCTTAGTGAAATACGCAATGAACCCTTCGTTCGGCGGCCTGCCACGTTAGGAAAAGCACAGAGGGGCTACAACGAGAGGTATAAGTGCACCTTCCATGATGAAGTAGGGCACCGAACTAAAGATTGTACGCCTCTAAGGCAACATCTGGTAGAATTGGTGGCAGGTGGCCACTTAGATCAATACATTGAAGGGGGGCTCGGCCAGCCCCTCAAGATGGAAATGTGACAAACGGGATACCGGTAGCTGGTCCGCCTTAAGGCATGATCAAAGTGATTCTTGGGATCATAGAACCTGAGCAAGTTTGCGAGCTCAAAAGGATGATTAAAAAAGTGGAACACGTGAGGAAAGTGTTGAGTGTTCAACCAACCATAAAGAAAGGAAAGACGGAAGCAAAGAACGTAATCACTTTCTCTGACAGGGACTTAGCAAGGTTGCAGAACCCTCACAATGACGCGCTAGTTGTTACTTTCCACATCAAAAACTTTGATATCAAGCGGATCTTGATAGACCAGGGAGGCTCGTGTGAGATAATATACTATGAGACCTTCAAGCAATTAAAATTGGAGGACAAAGACTTGGCACCAGTGACTTCCCTGTTGGCCGGCTTTAATTCGATGCCAAAATGGCCGATTGGCAAGATAATTTTGCCGCGCAAAACTAGATAGATGACAAAACAAGTGGAATTCTGGGTGTTGAAAGTTTCCTCCACTTACAACATCATTTTGGAAAGAGCATGGTTGTATGCTATGCAAGTTGTAGCATCGAATTACCATCAAGTGATGCGATTCCCAAACAAAGCCGAAGTAATTGAAGAAGTCCTGGGAAACCAAATCATGTTCAAGCAATGCTTCGTGACCGTGAACGGCCACAGAGCTGCCAATGGATTTGTGCAGATGGTAGAAGAATTGGAGAGCGACGAGATGTTCGCAGACGTCGACAAGGCAGCTGAACAGAAAGAAGTGAAAGATCTGGTGGAAATAAGAATCGAAGATAACGACCCACACTACAACAAAAAAGGGTTTTTACGACACCAAATGCACGTCGTAAAAAAGATTCTACGATGCGCAAGGTAAAGCCGTGTTATGACCGGTCATGAAAAGTCATTCATTTCAACGGCATGTTGTAGTACGCCTTTAAAAACCTTTTAACTGCGGATCTTGTGTGTCATATTTGACTTTTCTTTAACTACTTTTGCACGCCGTTAATTTAAGGGACAAACTACGACATTCATTACTAGTCGTTGAATATTTAATACAATGACCTATTTTGCTTGCCATAAATAGCCCAAGTTTCATAACATTTTTTGCATGTCGTAGAATATGTATAAAAAAAAAACATTCAGCGAGTGTTATTTCACTTGTTCTGTAAAATCTAAGAAAACATTGCAAACAAGCTTCACAAATGTATATATATATAAGCATTAATCAAACAACAAAATATTATTTTTTTTGGGTGAATAAGTCATAAAAGAAAACATGAAAATATATAAGATTCCAAGGGACATACCCCAGCCCTACCATAGCTATACAATAAAAACAAACTAACAAAAACTACAACCAAGCTAAAGAGCTAGAAGACAGAAAAAACAAAGGGGCCAAACAACCTATTCAACATCTATATCTAAAAGAAAATAGGGAGACAGAACAAGAACAAAAGGGCCCATATCAGCAAAAAGAGAAAACCAGGAAAGCAAAACCCACTAAGTCCAAACAACTGAGCGAAGGCATTACTTCATCACAACCAATAAGCAGTGGCAACACAAAGACCTGTAGACAAACTAAAAAGCCTTCATATGTATGAGTAGCCGCAATAACTCTATACCAAGGCCTTCAAGATCATAACACACATCACTATCTAGTTATAGCAGAACAATAAGCTTCATGGGGACACCATAACCGACAACTACCCAAGGAACATATCTCTTGCACAGCCCGTAGGAAAAGGGACAATAACACTGATACACAACTCAAATAAAAAGAAAATTTCCAAAATCACAAAGCACTGAGAGGAGGAAAGAAAATAAATAGAACAACAGATTGACCCAAGGCACAAAGAACTAGAACTGGTGCAGAGTTGCAACCTGGCTCCCATACAAGACCATCACTCTTTGATAAAACCAAGAAGAATTTACTGAAAATTGACTGGGCTACCTAGATCATACCCAGCCAAACCATCTACATAACCTGGAATATCTAAACACAGTAAGCAAGATGAAATGAACTAGCAGCAACCACACTTAGTATATACTTAGATCATTCGACCCACAAACTCAAACTCTCAACAAAGGAAGATAAATAACAGTGAACACACACAAAAAAAAAATTCATCCTCATAGACACTAGGCTCACAAAACAAAGAATTCCCTAATAATAGCACCAGTAATGGAGAACCTGCAAAACAAACAAAGTTAGGACACAATTTATAACTTACCTTCTCTCAACCCACAACTCACAGCCAACTCCACACCCTAAGTATGTGCTCACAAAACTCAACTCTTTTGCCCTAAATGAAGGCCAGCATTGCGACCTGCATAGCAAACAATTAGGAAAAACACAATATATACAAAACTCATTTTGAGCTCACAGCCACTCAACCGAGAATATGGAATCTCACAACACTCAACCCTTAAAACTCCTATCTTCCACATTTTTTAATTCAATAGCAGCCATATACCAGCACACATGGGTGGGAAAAAACAACCTGTAACAAAAAGGTTACAAAACACAACTAACTCATAAACTCGAAGCCTCTTTAAGGATAGAGGTTGGAAGTCTCCATTTGGACAAAAACCACTTATCCTTTGAATTTCTCTTCAAGTTTTTGAGAGATAGAACTCTAAACTTGATCATGTCAACAATATTTACAACAACAATATCTTCAGGAACTCTCTCTTTTGTAAAAACTCTGTTATTTCTCTCAAGCCAAATACGATAAACAGAGCAAGTAAAAACTAGTCTGGATATAATGGAACGAAGGGACTTACCCCTCACATTCATGGCAATATAGGGGACCAAATCAAACCAGTTCAGAGCAAGCCAGTTCACATCAATTTTTTCCTTCATAGACAACGAAACACTCTCAGAGAAGGGACATTTAAAGAATAAGTGAGAGTGGTCCTCGGAATGTTGGTGGCACAATGGATAGGTAACAACATGAGAGATGCCAAATGATTTCAGCTTATCCCCAATATTCAATCTATTCTGAATGGCTAACCAAGAAATAAAATTAGCCTTAGGGATGGAGACTCGGGTCCCCTTTGGGTATACCCTCAGAATATTCTTCTGTGTGAACCTAAGGGGGACAAAAGAGAAGAGATTAATAAAAACAGTCGAGATCTAATCACTCACTGGAGTGAAAATATAAGTGTTTTAAGATAATTCTTAGAAATATTAAGCACATAAATAAAAATAACTTATTTGTAAAGAGTAATTGAAATTACTCCATCAAAAATGTCTCGCCTCCTTACTTTTGCAACATATTCACCTTTGAACTTTTGTGAGAATGGAAAAGGGATGGGAGGTGGAAGAGAGAGAGGTGGGCTATATAACTTTTAATATACAGCCCGTAGTACTTTTAAATTTTCTCCATTTTTTCTCTAGATATATAATAAAATATAGTAGTTCTCGAAAGTGCAGTGAAACCATTAAAATCTATTATTGATGTTGAGAAAGCTAAAGTAGTTGTTTGTTCGAAAGAAAGATTCGGCATTGGAAAAATATATTTCAAATGTTAACCAACCACCAGAAAACAAAATGATTTGATATATATATACACACACAATCTTTTTACATATATATAAATAAATAAATTGAAAAAACCGACGTAAATATTACGGGAAAACAAACCAACCGAACCGGAACCTTAGTAAGACTTCTATTTTCCATGGATAAACTTACCTGAGAAGCGATGGCATCAGAAACGTCAGAGTCGGACTCTGATGATTCCCCATTTTTTTCCATACCTTTCACCAGGGACTGCCAATAAACCACAATTAAACTGTGTCCACAAGATAACCCAATTCACTAAATCCTAGTAATAAATTCCATACAAAAATAAGATAACCAATAAATCAAATTCCCTCTAGCTTACAACCAAACAATTTTTTTGTTTTTCAGAAAACTGGTTCTGAAAACAAAAACGAATTCAATCATTAAAAAAAAAAAAAAAAAGATTCGGCATTGGAAAAATATATTTCAAATGTTAACCAACCACCAGAAAACAAAATGATTTGATATATATATACACACACAATCTTTTTACATATATATAAATAAATAAATTGAAAACACCGATGTAAATTTTACGGGAAAACAAACCAAACGAAACGGAACCTTAGTAAGGCTTCTATTTTCCATGGATAAACTTACCTGAGAAGCGATGGCATCAGAAACGTCAGAGTCGGACTCTGATGATTCCCCATTTTTTTCCATACCTTTCACCAGGGACTGCCAATAAACCACAATTAAACTGTGTCCACAAGATAACCCAATTCACTAAATCCTAGTAATAAATTCCATACAAAAATAAGATAACCAATAAATCAAATTCCCTCTAGCTTACAACCAAACAATTTTTTTGTTTTTCAGAAAACTGGTTCTGAAAACAAAAACGAATTCAATCATTAAAAAAAAAAAAAAAAACCCAAACCCAAATAGATATTTGCAATAACAGTGATTTTGTCTAAAACCTGGGATACATTCTTTCTATTTTATGCGTTTTCTATCATATAATTCTGTGTTACGTAGCAACAACGGTAATAATCAACTACCTAAACAAGGTGATTTGAGCTAAATTTGAGCAATACAACAAAAGATCAAATTACCTGAATTTCGCCCAATACATCAGATAATTTACCATTCTTAACCAGGATCGTACTAGTGTACCCTGCAAAGTATAATCAGATCAATATCAAAAGGCAAGAGAGAGCCTAATACCGAAATCGATTAAGCGAGTTTTGTGTGTGTGTGTGTGCAGATAGATTACCTACTCCAACCAAGATCAAGATCTTGGAGAGGCCCATGCCAGCTTGCATCGCCATCGCTGGTGATCTCACCCCAACTACATATATATAAATAAATAAATTGAAAACACCGATGTAAATTTTACGAGAAAACTAAACAAACGAAACAGAACCTTAGTAAGGCTTCTATTTTCCATGGATAAACATACCTGAGAAGCGATGGCATCAGAAACGTCAGAGTCAGACTCTGATGATTCCTTATTTTTTTCAATACCTTTAACCAGGGACTGCCAATAAAACACAATTAAACTTTGTCCACAGGATAACCCAATTCAACAAATTCACTAAATCCTAGTAATAAATTTCACACAAAAATAAGATAACCAATAAATAATTCCCTCTAGCTTACAACCAAACAAATTTTGTGTTTTTCAAAAAACTGGTTCTGAAAACAAAACGAATTCAATCATTAAAAAAAAAAAAAAAAACACAAACTCAGATAGATATTCGCAGAAACAGTGATTGACAATGTGATTTGAACTAAATTTGAGCAATACAACAAAAGATCAAATTACCTGAATTTCGCCCAATAAATCAAGCAAATCACTTCCACCGCCATTTTGCTAAAATACGACGTCGTTCCAAGTAGGGTATAAAGTGAATAAAAATCCCTTTGAGAATTCAGTAGTGTCGTCGGAGGAGAGAGAAGAAGACCTAGCTAAGGTTGGGTTGGGATGAGATCACCAGCGGTGGAGATGCAAACTGGCATGGGCCTCTCTAAGATCTTGATCTTGGTCGGAGCAGGTAATCTATCTACACACACAGACAAACACACATACACACAAAACTCTCTTAGTCGATTTCGGTATTAAGCTCTCTCTTGCCTTTTGATATCGATCTGATCATACTTTGCAGGGTACACTAGTACGATCCTAGTTAAGAACGATAAATTATCTGATTTATTGGGCGAAATTCAAGTAATTTGATCTTTTGTTGTATTGCTCAAATTTAGTTCAAATCACCTTGTCAATCACTGTTATTGCGAATATCTATCTGGGTTTGTGTTTTTTTTTTAATGATTGAATTCGTTTTGTTTTCAGAACCAGTTTTTGAAAAACACAAAATTTGTTTGGTTGTAAGCTAAAGGGAAATATTTATTGGTTATCTTATTTTTGTGTGGAATTTATTACTAGGATTTAGTGAATTTGTTGAATTGGGTTATCCTGTGGACACAGTTTAATTGTGTTTTACTGGCAGTCCCTGGTTAAAGGTATTGAAAAAAATAGGGAATCATCAGAGTCCGACCCTGACGTTTCTGATGCCATTGCTTCTCAAGTATGTTTATCCATGGAAAATAGAAGACTTACTAAGGTTTTGTTTCGTTTGGTTTGTTTTCCCGTAAAATTTACATGGGTGTTTTCAATTTATTTATTTATATATATGTAAAAAGATTGTGTGTGTATATATATATCAAATCATTTTGTTTTCTGGTGGTTGGTTAACATTTGAAATATATTTTTCCAATGCCCAATCTTTCTTTCTAACAAACAACTACTTTAACTTTCTCAACATCAATAATAAATTTAAATGGTTTCACTGCACTTTCGATGACTACTATATTTTATTATATATCTAGAGAAAAAATGGAGAAAATTTGAAAGTACTATGGGCTGTATATTAAAAGTTATATAGCCCACCTCTCTCTCTTCCACCTCCCCTCCTCCCTCTTTCATTCTCACAAAAGTTCAAAGGTGAATATGTTGCAAAAGTAAGGAGGCAGCACACTTTTGTTGGAGTAATTTCAATTACTCTTTACAAATAAGTTATTTTATGAACATTACAAGAAATTGCACTTTTGACAACTACTTTTGGCGACGATGCCAATTTTTCATAGCCAAAAATATATTTTTGGCGAGACAGTGATTAATTTCGTCGGTAAAAGTAGACCTTTAACAACGCAATTTACTATTGTTACTAAAAAAACAAAACATTACCAGGCGCCAAAATTATTGGTTGGCACCAAAATTTCAAAATTTTAGCGACGAGGGTTAGTTTGTTGCAACACGATAAGCGTTGCTATTAGTTTGTTTACTTTTGGCGAATATAAGTTGGCGTGGGTGAAGAATTAAAAATTTAGCGACGACAAAACTATACGTTGGCAAAAGTTTTGCTAGTGAAATATGATGGTTTCATGATTTGCGTTTTTATTAGAACTTTTTAAAGGAGTTTGGATTCTTTCAAGTTGTCCATATAAATTTGTTTCAAACATATGGTTACTGATATCCGATTTTCATGAAAAAAAATTTCATGATTATTTTAGTCAATGAATAGTAAAAAGTGCATGGTTTAGATTGGTGAGATCAATTTCAAAATAAGCCCACAAAACCCAAACACTATCTCAAGTTGAGATAACCAAATTAAAATAATCAAAACTCTTTGCAAAGTTGAATTGATGGCTATATTTGATTTGATTTTTTAAAACTTGATTCAAATTTATTTTTAAAGACAAAATTAGTTTCGTGAAAAATTTTAAAAATTTAAAAGTACTATACTTATCAATTTTATATAATTTTACAAAAGATATAAATACTTTTTTAAAAATTCAAAAATACATTTTTTAAAAGAAAATCAACCAAACATGACCTCAGTTTCTTACCTTCCTCCCAAAATTCCCCCCTCTTTTTATTTTTTTGTTCATAGGTAAAACCTTTCTCTCCATGATTTTCACCCTTGCGCAGCCGTTCTCTCACGATTCGTAGTTCTCTCCCTCTCGCACGCTTGCACAGACATTTGTCGATCATCGGGGGTTTCCGCCGTTTGTCATTGCTGTGATAGAACCTCTCTGCTTCATTCTGGCTCTGTAGGTTTGTCCCCTCTTTGCTCTGTATCTTAGTCCCCCTCCGCGTCTCTGTTTCTCTATCTGCTTTGTATCTCCATATCCAATGGATTTTTGATTTCTGGATTCTTCTTCTGTATCCGAGAACGAGCCTAATTACCTTATGCTCGCTCAGGTTCAGCTTCCACTCGAAGACACAGAGAATGATGCGAGACATTACAATGACGATCATTTTGATTTCGGCGAATTTGGTTACACCAATGACAAGGTACAGTGTGTATTTAGATGTTTGTATGGAAATTGCTTTGATTTTCTTATTGGTTCACTGTTAGTTCGACTTTCTGAATTTGTTTAAGGAATGATTGGATTGAGAAATTGAGAAGCTTTAGTTGGTCATTGTGAAAATTTTGCCAGTTTTACCGCTTGGGTTTAGGGTTTTACTGGAAATTAAATTAGTAAGATTGGTTGCTTGGGTAGTTAACTTGATGTCTGTATTCTCTTGTTATAAGATCATACATTATGTATTGTCCATTTAGTATTTAAGCTAATGTAAAGTCTTTTGTTATTTATTTATTTATTTTGGTTAATTTTGGCTCCATTTGTGGTGCTTTCCAGGTTTCTTTTCTCCGTTACACTCAGCAGTGGAAGAACAAAAGTTGTGTTTGTGTTGAATAAATCTAATCTCTATCAGAATTCTAATGAGGTTTAATTATGCATTCTCTAGTTTGATTGTTAATTTTATTCAAAGGGATTTCTTTTAGGAGGGACTATAAAGAATGGACAAATTTCCCCTACTTTAGATTTGTTAATGAAGTAATTCTAATCTTCAATTCTTTTACATGATTTGATGCAACTCAAGGAAGCTATTGCTTTCGTCAAGGAAAATACCTAGAAGTTGCTTAATTTAGAACATGTGACATTTTATATTGTATCTATACACTATCTGCCCTTGAAGCAAAACTTTCAGTTTCCTACCATGTTCAGAAAGAGATTGAAGAACTATCTATGACTAATCCTCATTGGAGAACCCGTAGTTTCTATGAATTTGAAATTTTTTTGTATAGCTTTTTAGATGGGTCAACAAGTACATGAATTGAAAGAATGAAGCTTAAGCTTGAAACACCTATTGCAATGGCAGAGCAACTGCTTTCTGCTTGTCAGGAGCTTGTGAAAGAAAGTGCCAGCATACCAAGCAAGATTTGATGTCAGTAAATGAACAAGTAGACAGTGTGAAAGAGTATGCAATGAAGATGGAAAGTGTTAGCGTTTTGTGGAAGAGACAGACTTTATCATTGATTCACTGGTATGTTTCTTAGACTCCAAAATATTATGAGCTAGATGCAAACTTTTGGTGTCAAATCGATGTAACCGATCTATGTCTCTAACAATATTTATCAATCTTTTTCATTCTTTGTCCTAAATTTTATTTATGAAAGCTATACAAATGCAGATTGATAGTACACTTTCATGAATTGTGAAGATTATAGAATCAACTCTACAATTATCAAATCTTGATCTTGTTGCTTCATATGCTTTCAAAGAGAAATCTGTTCCAATGCCTGCCACCTCAATTACTCGAAATGACATTATTGGCCTTGCACATTCTAATGCACAAGTAAGTAAATGATTCTAACCTGTTTGGGATTTGAGTTGAGCTCTAAAATTAACATTATTTGTATGTTCTGATAAACTTTACATGTCTATAATTGTCTTGAACATATATATATGATACTTATGAAAATATAATTTAGGAGAATGTAAAGTTTAAACCTTGAGCTTTAGTCTAGAGTACATATTTATATACTTTCAAGAAGGGTAACTTCTAATGGTCAATAATGTAGAACCCCCAAAAATATAAAACTAGTTTTTATTCAACTGCTCTAATTGGTCTCTTCACCAAACAACCCCAAACGATGAAAGGAACAAACAACTCAAGATTTTTTAACAGCTCTTTTATCTTTTTTTCTATTTCCATTTTTTATGATATGTGTTCTTTCATATATTTGTTGCTGCAAACCCAATTTATATAGTGCATTTTTAGAGGTGGCACTAGACTGCTCAATGTTTTAGATTGGTTTTGGAATATCAGTTGAAATAGTTGTAGTGAATTTTACTAACGTACTTTAAATGCTCATAGTCTAAATTGCAAATGGTTTGTGGGTTTTGGATATAGGAAAATGATCTGCAACATGGAGTTGAATGATGAATAAAAGGATTAGCACACTTAAAATTTAGAAAGGTAAAAAAAGAATATTTAAATAGAATAGAAAAAAAAATAGAGTATTTTGGAGAAATTAGTTGAAAAAGAGACTCCATAAAATAGAAAAATATCTTTTTAGCCCCACTTTGAGGTAAAAATCGGGATTGTTGGAGTTGCTCTAAAACAATTTATATAGAAACGATCTACTCATATGTACAGAAAAATAACGTCAACATCAACTATTATTATTACTATAAATATATTATTTTATCATGAATGTTAAGCTTACATATTTAATGGTGGCCCAAATGTCACAAAGGAATTGATGCCACCATTCATTAATTTATTTTTGTTTAACTGTTATATATGCAATGTGAAATGTAAAATTATTAGGTAGTTGACCAGCGACAATAGTTAGTTGAACCAGGCTTGAAGCATTAGCACAATGCAAGGTGTTATGTAGATGTTGGCTACAAAAAAAGGGGGATAGATCTAGCTAGCATTCTAGGGTTAGTTCCAAGCCACAGTATTGGGTAGGACGCATCAGGTGCAAGGGAGGATGAAACGTCTCTTAGTTGAAGTAGAGGTAAATTTAATACTAACCTGATGTATTTTATTTAACTTAAACAGCATGTGTCAACAACCTACAATTAAATAAGTTGGTTTGGTTGCTGTCTTTGGGTGCTGATTTGGGGTGCTTGTATAGCAGGTTTGATGTTGTTGGTTTAGGTCCCAAGTACCGTTTGGCGCTTTTAGCTTGACACTGAAACAGAGGCAGTAGGGTTTAAGGTCTTAAGCATTGTAAAACATAACACCTTAAGCTAGAAAATAGGCATTTTAAGGGCATAATTGTGAAATAGCCATGGAAATACTTGGGAATCAATAGGAACATCATAGTAAGGATAAAAGTAACTTGTAGAAACTCATGAAGTAAGAACATGGCTCTTGGTTTTAAAATTAAGCTCAAACTTGCATTTTTTGAACACTTGGTCTTGAAAGTAAGCGTTTGGAGGGGAAAATCATGCAACGGCCAGAAAAATTGTCATGAATCAATATGAAAACCTTACTGAAGATCTAACTTGTACAAACTCATAGAACAATACAAGATTCCCCATTTTTAAATTAAGCTCAAACTTACATTTGTTGAACACTTAGACTTAGAAATTGGCATTTAGAGGGAAAAATCATGAAATCGCCACAAAAATGCCTAGAAATTAGTATGAACACCTTAGTAAGCATAAAAGGAACTTGTTATAACTCAAGGAACAAGCATGGGACTCCCAGCTTTCAAATTGAGCTGAAATGTCTTTTTTGAGCATTTATGCTTGAAAATAGGCATTTGAAGGAAAATATCATAAAATAGCCACAGAAATACCTAGGAATCGATACGAACAACATTGTAAGGATTAAAATGTTGAAACTCATGGAACAATCACAGGATTCCCCATTATAAAATTAAACTCAAATTTGCATATTTTTTAACACTTAATCTTGAAAATTAGCACCCGGAGAGAAAAATTGTAAATTAGCTATATAAATACCCAAGAATTGGTTCAAACACCTTAGTAAGGACCAAATTAACTTATAGAAACTCACAGAACAAGCATGAGAATCCTAGTTTCAAAATTAAGCTCAAACTTGTATATTTTGAACACTTAGACTTAAAAATAGGCATTTGAAGGGAAAATTTGTGTAATAGCTATGAAAATGCCCAGGAATTGGTTTGAGCACCTTATTAGGGGAAAAATGACTTGTAAAAACTCATGGAATAAGCACAAGACTCATAGTTTCAAAATTAATCTCAAACTTGCGTGTATGAACTAGACACTTAAAAATGAAATAAGTTTAGCTAATTCAATTAATTTTAACTATATTTGTATATTATTTATGAAGTTAATGCATTGATAAAGTACTAATGTTTTTGTCTTTTTATTGACAGGTTGATGATGGACGTTCGTGGTTTGGGTGGTGATATTGTTATTAAAGATACAAGAGTTTGTCGTTCAACAATGTAGTCATTTATTTTATTTTTCTTTGTTTCGTTTTATAGGTTATTTTGTCAAATATTTGAATATATTTTGGAATTATTATGTTTGGGATTGTTGGATATTTGGACACATTTTAGGATTCTTATGTTTAGTATTGTTGGATATTTGAATGCAATTTGAGATTGTTTGATATTGGAATGCATTTGACATTAATTTGGTTGGATTAATAGTTGTTACGATGTATGGCGTTAAGTTTAGTTTGTATAGTTTGTTATATATAGATTTGTTTGTATGTATATACAGGTTACAAGGAAAACAAATCACATCGAACATTTTATTTTAAAAAAAAATATTATCATATATGCAGTTTATACATGCCTGTGATTTATATATTTTAACTACATAATCAATCATTGATAAAAGAAATCCTATAGAAAATATAAATAATTTTTAATTGATTTTGCCGATGCAAATTTGTCGTTGCCAAAATTGCTTTCTTGACAAAACAAATCGTCGGCAATTGGCAACATTTACCGACATAAATGTGTCCCCAAAAGTTTACTTTTGTTGACTCATATTGTGTTGCTAAAAGTGTATTTTTTTGCTGATGCAAATTTGTGTCGGGAAAAGTGCCACACAATCATCATATTTGAACTACTTTTACCGACGCAAGATAAATTGCCGACAAGGGATGAAGGCTTTTACCAACGACTATATTTGTTGCTAAAGGCATTACTTTTACCTACGCAATAATAATTTTGTCGGCAAAATGTTTTGTCGATTCACTTTTACCCACGGGTTGCCAACGTAGCTCCGTGTGTCGGCGAAACTTTTTGCCGATGAGTTTTCCCTTTTAGCAATATATTTTGTTATGTTGCAAAAAATGCAATTTCTTGTAGTGATATAACTTCAGTGACTATCTCACAAGGTCAATTCCATAAGATTCCGCTGCCTTTTCAAGTGTTGTTTCACTCAAACTAAGGGGTTATTTGGGATGATCAAAATAAGTGTACTTTTTGACTTTTTATGAATTATGGGTTGAGTTTGGGTTGGGTTTGAAGTGATGTGTTAGAGAGGTGATGTGACTTAAATAAGATGATGTGACTTAAGTAGGATAGTGACTTTTTGACTTTTTGTCTTTTTCAAGACATGCCAAACTTAGCCTAAGACGTTTAATTTTTCCAATTCCAGCCCTCAAAGCCTCTTTCAATCCATTCTTTGGTTTCCCAACATGAATTGCAATCAGATGCTTGTATTGACGTGCTCCTAGCTGGCATGATTTCTGCTCACAGCCATCACTGCCTTCATCATCCTAATCAGTGTCGTCCTATTAGCCATGACTAAATTCTAACATGTTAAAGTAATTAAGCACCTTATATATTATAATAGAATAAAGTAAATTTCATTCCTAGATTATAAGCTGATGAAATAAATTTATTTTTTAGCTCACCCTGTCATCAGGATCCAACTCAGCTGCAAGGTGTGGCGACTCCTTTCCCGATGTAGCTTTAGTAGTTGAATCTTTCTCTGTTGGCCCCTCAGAATCAAGATATTCTTTTGGTGGTTTGGTTGAAAGAATAATTCGATGCTTTAAGGCTTCTGGTGAAGGGAATTCTTCCAAGCACCCTAACACAAGGTAATATAATAGTTCTCTAAACGTCTCAATGACCGTCTATAGGAAGATTTAGTTTTTATTACAATAGAAACATTGAAATCAATTCATCTTTTTGTAATTTAAAAACATGAAGGTAAAAGGAAAAAAAAAAAAAAATTAAAGCTAACCTCTGCAACCTTAGCTTGAAGGTCTGCTGTAAGGTGGCTCTCCAAAGTTACTCTAACAGGGTATGGAGATTTAACAAAAGCATATTCTTTAATGGACTGCAAGCATTTGATGAGTGTCACAGGAACCATTAGGGTCCTAGATTCATTCAGAAGTTGAGATTATTCCAAACATAAACATAAGTCAATAATGAACTTAAGAAACTGAATGTAATTTAAAATATTTAGTAAATTCATATTTAAGATTAAAATTTATAATCTATATTGCAAATGCAATGGGATCAGGCAATCCCTACAAAAATTACTTGATACGAGTGTATAACTAACAATTATGCCAACACATAATATCACTTGGATAGTTTCCTAAATTCTCCAATAATTTTGGTTTGCAATTATGATATCATTTATGATATGTTGCATAAACAATCAATATTGGTAATTGTAAGATAAATTGATAGAAAGAGAATAAATTGTATGTATTATGATTGATATATTTAATGGTGTGTTGAGCTCTCTCCTTTATAGAGGAGAGGGAGAACAATTACAAACCGAAAGTAGAAGCACAAACCAAACAACATTATTAAAGGTGCATTATTAAAGCATACTAATTATTATACTAACCTAATTATTAAAGCAACATTTTACATATTATATTCTAACATAGCTGCATAAAGAAAGACTAATAAAAATGGTAAAAACAAGGAGAAGAAGAAGAAAGACTAATAAGTAATTACAAATGACAAAGTATTTCATCTTACTTAGCATATCCCCGGCCTTGAATTGCTTCCCATTTATCCAGCCTCCAACACTAAAATCCCATCCTGAAGAATCACCTACAGTGAAAGTAGCTGAGTGAGTTGTTTCCAAGTAAAGTGAGAGGGAGACAAGGAGAGCAATGGCAAGAACCACAGCTCTGTTTGCACTGCATCTTCCCTGGTGATACTTCAATGCCATGACGCAAAGGTGGAGACGAAGCTACAAATAAATTACTGTGAGCTTCCTAGCTAAGGGTGTATTTAAGAAATGGGGTTGTTGTTGCTTTTATAAAGGTGCGTGTCTTTGGGTATCAAATGGAGGGTGTTTTGGTTATCGCCTGGAAATAATTCATTAGTTTAAATTTGTTAGTGGGCAAAACAAAAATAAACAAAATAAAGTAATTTCTTCATTATCTTATTCCATGGGAATAGGGACACTAAACATTGTTGCCTTACAATGATTAGCAAGCAGCATTTGTTGACTACACAAAGCGAGTGGAAAAACAGGTACAGATAATAAATAAATTCATGCATCATTTTCAAAAGGAGAGATCATTCTGTGTTGATTAAAGCTATAGAATCGGCCAAAGACATGAATTGGTTCCAACTTTCTCTAGTCTTCATAGAATAGTTCATGCATTAAGAAGAGCATCATCCAATGGAAGAAAATCAAGGTTTCAAGTTACACAACACACTGCATCCAGAACTCTAAAACAGACACACACAACTAAACCTCTGTAGTAAATCACAGTACAATAATAATCTTCTAACAGATAAAAAAATTGTAACATACAACCAACCAGAGCAATCAAATGAGAAAAATACTCTGTTTGGTTAGTCAGAAAAGAGAATCAAAGCAAGAGGAAGCTCACCTTACTTGAGACTTTTGTCAAATATGTTGTCTTCAGCAACCAAGCAACATATATGCACATGAAATTGAACACATCAATTAGAGTTTTGGGGCAAGACCAGTATCAATTCTAACCAACTTAATCAAACATATATGAGTGTGTATACATATATATATACTAGTGGGTGGCACACTAATAAGTAATTACAAATGACAAAGTATTTCATCTTACTTAGCATATCCCCGGCCTTGAATTGCTTCCCATTTATCCAGCCTCCAACACTAAAATCCCATCCTGAAGAATCACCTACAGTGAAAGTAGCTGAGTGAGTTGTTTCCAAGTAAAGTGAGAGGGAGACAAGGAGAGCAATGGCAAGAACCACAGCTCTGTTTGCACTGCATCTTCCCTGGTGATACTTCAATGCCATGACGCAAAGGTGGAGACGAAGCTACAAATAAATTACTGTGAGCTTCCTAGCTAAGGGTGTATTTAAGAAATGGGGTTGTTGTTGCTTTTATAAAGGTGCGTGTCTTTGGGTATCAAATGGAGGGTGTTTTGGTTATCGCCTGGAAATAATTCATTAGTTTAAATTTGTTAGTGGGCAAAACAAAAATAAACAAAATAAAGTAATTTCTTCATTATCTTATTCCATGGGAATAGGGACACTAAACATTGTTGCCTTACAATGATTAGCAAGCAGCATTTGTTGACTACACAAAGCGAGTGGAAAAACAGGTACAGATAATAAATAAATTCATGCATCATTTTCAAAAGGAGAGATCATTCTGTGTTGATTAAAGCTATAGAATCAGCCAAAGACATGAATTGGTTCCAACTTTCTCTAGTCTTCAAAGAATAGTTCATGCATTAAGAAGAGCATCATCCAATGGAAGAAAATCAAGGTTTCAAGTTACACAACACACTGCATCCAGAACTCTAAAACAGACACACACAACTAAACCTCTGTAGTAAATCACAGTACAATAATAATCTTCTAACAGATAAAAAAATTGTAACATACAATCAACCAGAGCAATCAAATGAGAAAAATACTCTGTTTGGTTAGTCAGAAAAGAGAATCAAAGCAAGAGGAAGCTCACCTTACTTGAGACTTTTGTCAAATATGTTGTCTTCAGCAACCAAGCAACATATATGCACATGAAATTAAACACATCAATTAGAGTTTTGGGGCAAGACCAGTATCAATTCTAACCAACTTAATCAAACATATATGAGTGTGTATACATATATATATACTAGTGGGTGGCACACTAATAAGTAATTACAAATGACAAAGTATTTCATCTTACTTAGCATATCCCCGGCCTTGAATTGCTTCCCATTTATCCAGCCTCCAACACTAAAATCCCATCCTGAAGAATCACCTACAGTGAAAGTAGCTGAGTGAGTTGTTTCCAAGTAAAGTGAGAGGGAGACAAGGAGAGCAATGGCAAGAACCACAGCTCTGTTTGCACTGCATCTTCCCTGGTGATACTTCAATGCCATGACGCAAAGGTGGAGACGAAGCTACAAATAAATTACTGTGAGCTTCCTAGCTAAGGGTGTATTTAAGAAATGGGGTTGTTGTTGCTTTTATAAAGGTGCGTGTCTTTGGGTATCAAATGGAGGGTGCTTTGGTTATCGCCTGGAAATAATTCATTAGTTTAAATTTGTTAGTGGGCAAAACAAAAATAAACAAAATAAAGTAATTTCTTCATTATCTTATTCCATGGGAATAGGGACACTAAACATTGTTGCCTTACAATGATTAGCAAGCAGCATTTGTTGACTACACAAAGCGAGTGGAAAAACAGGTACAGATAATAAATAAATTCATGCATCATTTTCAAAAGGAGAGATCATTCTGTGTTGATTAAAGCTATAGAATCAGCCAAAGACATGAATTGGTTCCAACTTTCTCTAGTCTTCAAAGAATAGTTCATGCATTAAGAAGAGCATCATCCAATGGAAGAAAATCAAGGTTTCAAGTTACACAACACACTGCATCCAGAACTCTAAAACAGACACACACAACTAAACCTCTGTAGTAAATCACAGTACAATAATAATCTTCTAACAGATAAAAAAATTGTAACATACAATCAACCAGAGCAATCAAATGAGAAAAATACTCTGTTTGGTTAGTCAGAAAAGAGAATCAAAGCAAGAGGAAGCTCACCTTACTTGAGACTTTTGTCAAATATGTTGTCTTCAGCAACCAAGCAACATATATGCACATGAAATTAAACACATCAATTAGAGTTTTGGGGCAAGACCAGTATCAATTCTAACCAACTTAATCAAACATATATGAGTGTGTATACATATATATATACTAGTGGGTGGCACACTAATAAGTAATTACAAATGACAAAGTATTTCATCTTACTTAGCATATCCCCGGCCTTGAATTGCTTCCCATTTATCCAGCCTCCAACACTAAAATCCCATCCTGAAGAATCAAAATATTATCATATATGCAGTTTATACATGCCTGTGATTTATATATTTTAACTACATAATCAATCATTGATAAAAGAAATCCTATAGAAAATATAAATAATTTTTAATTGATTTTGCCGATGCAAATTTGTCGTTGCCAAAATTGCTTTCTTGACAAAACAAATCGTCGGCAATTGGCAACATTTACTGACATAAATGTGTCCCCAAAAGTTTACTTTTGTTGACTCATATTGTGTTGCTAAAAGTGTATTTTTTTGCTGATGCAAATTTGTGTCAGGAAAAGTGCTACACAATCATCATATTTGAACTACTTTTACCGACGCAAGGTAAATTGCCGACAAGGGATGAAGGCTTTTACCAACAACTATATTTGTTGCTAAAGGCATTACTTTTACCTACGCAATAATAATTTCGTCGGCAAAATGTTTTGTCGATTCACTTTTACCTACGGGTTGCCAACGTAGCTCCGTGTGTCGGCGAAACTTTTTGCCGATGAGTTTTCCCTTTTAGCAACATATTTTGTTATGTTGCGAAAAATGCAATTTCTTGTAGTGATATAACTTCAGTGACTACCTCACAAGGTCAATTCCATAAGATTCCGCTGCCTTTTCAAGTGTTGTTTCACTCAAACTAAGACGTTTAATTTTTCCAATTCCAGCCCTCAAAGCCTCTTTCAATCCATTCTTTGGTTTCCCAGCATGAATTGCAATCAGATGCTTGTATTGACGTGCTCCTAGCTGGCATGATTTCTGCTCACAGCCATCACTGCCTTCATCATCCTGATCAGTGTCGTCCTATTAGCCATGACTAAATTCTAACATGTTAAAGTAATTAAGCACCTTATATATTATAATAGAATGAAGTAAATTTCATTCCTAGATTATAAGCTGATGAAATAAATTTATTTTTTAGCTCACCCTGTCATCAGGATCCAACTCAGCTGCAAGGTGTGACGACTCCTTTCCCGATGTAGCTTTAGTAGATGAATCTTTCTCTGTTGGACCCTCAGATTCAAGATATTCTTTTGGTGGTTTGGTTGAAAGAATAATTCAATGCTTTAAGGCTTCTGGTGAAGGGAATTCTTCCAAGCACCCTAACGCAAGGTAATATAATAGTTCTCTAAACGTCTCAATGACCGTCTATAGGAAGATTTAGTTTTTATTACAATAGAAACATTGAAATCAATTCATCTTTTTGTAATTTAAAATCATGAAGGTAAAATGAAAAAAAAAAAAAAGAATTAAAGCTAACCTCTGCAACCTTAGCTTGAAGGTCTGCTGTAAGGTGGTTCTCCAAAGTTACTATAACAGGGTATGGAGATTTAACAAAAGCATATTCTTTAATGGACTGCAAGCATTTGATGAGTGTCACAGGAACCATTAGGGTCCTAGATTCATTCAGAAGTTGAGATTATTCCAAACATAAACATAAGTCAATAATGAACTTAAGAAACTGAATGTAATTTAAAATATTTAGTAAATTCATATTTAAGATTAAAATTTATAATCTATATTGCAAATGCAATGGGATCAGGCAATCCCTACAAAAATTACTTGATACGAGTGTATAACTAACAATTATGCCAACACATAATATCACTTGGATAGTTTCCTAAATTCTCCAATAATTTTGGTTTGCAATTATGATATCATTTATGATATGTTGCATAAACAATCAATATTGGTAAGTAGCTGCATAAAGAAAGACTAATAAAAATGGTAAAAACAAGGACAAGAAGAAGAAAGACTAATAAGTAATTACAAATGACAGAGTATTTCATCTTACTTAGCATATTCCCGGCCTTGAATTGCTTCCCATTTATCCAGCCTCCAACACTAAAATCCCATCCTGAAGAATCACCTACAGTGAAAGTAGCTGAGTGAGTTGTTTCCAAGTGAAGTGAGAGGGAGACAAGGAGAGCAATGGCAAGAACCACAGCTCTGTTTGCACTGCATCTTCCCTGGTGATACTTCAATGCCATGACGCAAGGTGGAGACGAAGCTACAAATAAATTACTCCTAGCTAAGGGTGTATTTAAGAAATGGGGTTGTTGTTGCTTTTATAAAGGTGCGTGTCTTTGGGTATCAAATGGAGGGTGTTTTGCTTATCGCCTGGAAATAACTCATTAGTTTAAATTTGTTAGTGGGCAAAACAAAAATAAACAAAATAAAGTAATTTCTTCATTATCTTATTCCATGGGAATAGGGACACTAAACATTGTTGCCTTACAATGATTAGCAAGCAGCATTTGTTGACTACCCAAAGCGAGTGGAAAAACAGGTACAGATAATAAATAAATTCATGCATCATTTTCAAACGGAGAGATCATTCTGTGTTGATTAAAGCTATAGAATCGGCCAAAGACATGAATTGGTTCCAACTTTCTCTAGTCTTCATAGAATAGTTCATGCATTAAGAAGAGCATCATCCAATGGAAGAAAATCAAGGTTTCAAGTTGCACAACACACTGCATCCAGAACTCTAAAACAGACACACACAACTAAACCTCTGTAGTAAATCACAGTACAATAATAATCTTCAAACAGATAAAAAAATTGTAACATACAATCAACCAGAGCAATCAAATGAGAAAAATACTCTGTTTGGTTAGTCAGAAAAGAGAATCAAAGCAAGAGGAAGCTCACCTTACTTGAGACTTTTGTCAAATATGTTGTCTTCAGCAACCAAGCAACATATATGCACATGAAATTAAACACATCAATTAGAGTTTTGGGGCAAGACCAGTATCAATTCTAACCAACTTAATCAAACATATATGAGTGTGTATACATATATATATATATATATATATATGTAAAATTCTCGAATGCAAAAAACATGAATCAAATCAAATAAATGAAATAGAACACTCTAGAAAATAAAACACTAAATACATGAAATTGATAGTTTAAAGGATAAAAATGATCAACTAAACTCTAGAAAAAAACATTAATCAAATCAAATTTTGCTTCAAAAAATAAAAAATTACTTCAAAAATGACAACAAGCAAAGTTAGAACTCACAATTTAGATAGTATTCTCCAAGTTCTGAGCAACACCATGAGCTAAGAAAATCAACAAGAAGGCTCTTGGTTAGGGTTTCAGAATTCGAGTGTTTAGTAATGAGTGGTGTCTCTTCATCCATGGCTTCTTAAAACTCTCAATTGGGTCGATTTGCCACAATAAGATATATATACCCTAGAAATTGGTGGTGTGGTGGGGCATATAAGAAAGAGTATGAGAGTGGGGTGAAGAGAGAGAGAGAGCACCATTTGAAACCCTTACCGTTCGAAGCCTCTCTCTTCTTCCACTCTTCTCGATTTTCCTCCTTGAACAGTATTCTATGTTTAGCCATTAGAAGCCAATGAGTGAATGTTTTGAATAGTATTTGGTGCTCAGACCCTTCTCTTCCCCTGTGATTTTTCTTCTTCAACCTTTCTCTTCTCTTCTCTTCTCTTCTCTGTGCCTAACCCGTTCTCTACTCAGACCCCTCTTTTCCGGGACCATTTCCCTAAATAAGCTAAAATAATAAATTAATTTCCAAACTAAGTCTAGTTTTGAAAGAATTATTTTGAGTTAACTCGCTATTCACAATCGCAATTTTAACATATTTGCACCTATCTTACGTGAAACTTAGTAAATCTTAAATTCGTGGTTACAAAAAGTACTTTTGATTAAGAAATCACGGTTACAAAACGCGATTTTAATTAATTTTTTTTTTTCTTATGAACTCGCTGTTCTGAACCACGATTTTATGAAAAAAAAAATTTCTTTTGAACTCACGGTTCCTAACCACGATTTTATGAAAAAAAAAATTTCTTCTGAACTCGTTGTTTCGAGTCACGCTTTTAGACCAAAAACTTTTTCTGCTGAAATCATGGTTGTGAAGCACGATTTCAATATTGATTTGCCAACCACGCTTGGACCAACTGATGCCTAATGTAAAGTAAACACAGTTTGTCTAATAAAGTTATTTCTTAAATAACAAAAAAATTCCTACAAATAAATTTCTAAAAATAAAAATAAAAATAAAATTCTAAAAATTTACGCTACCTTAGTGTTTAGGGATAAAATTTTTTTTTTTTATTTTACTAAAATAAAAATAAATAAATTTTAAGAATTAAACCCTAAACCCTAAAATAAAAAAAATAAAATTTATCCATAAACACTAAGTTAGCGTTTGGTAACGTTTATGTTTTTTTGTTTATATTTATGAAAATTTTATAAACTAGTTTTTATTTATTTTTAGAAAAACATAAATTACAAACGAGTTTGGTTTAAACAAAATGTTTAAAAAAATTTATAAAATTTAAATGCGTTTAGTTTTAAAATGTTTAAAAAATTTTAAAAACGTAAAATAAAAAATATGTTTGTTCAAGCCTAAAATATTGAAAAAATAATTATTTGAAAAAAAATTTAATTGGCAAAAAAAATATTTCAAAAAAATTTCATTGAAAAAAAAGATTAATTGAAAAAAAAAACTAATAGAAACAAAAATTAATTGAAAAAAATTCTTTGGTCTTAATTTCAATTATTTGGTCTTATTTTTTTTCAATTATTTGAAATTAAGACTAAATAATTTTTTTTCAATTATTTTTTTCAATTAATTATTTTTTTCTATTAATTTTTTTTTTCAAATATTTTTTTTCCCAATTAATTTTTTTTTTCAAATAATTTTTTTTTTCAATTAAATTTTATAAAAAAATTTAAATTTTATAAAAAAATTTTAAACAATAATTATTTTATAAAATTTTCTTTCAATTATTTGTTTAGGGATAAATAATTGTTTAGGGATAAAATTTTCAAATAATTATTTTATAAATTTTTTTAAACATTTTGTTCAAACCAAACTCGTTTGTAATTTATGTTTTTCTAAAAATAAATAAAAACTAGTTTATAAAATTTTCATAAATATAAACAAAAAACGTAAACGTTACCAAACGCTACCTTAGTGTTTACGGATAAATTTTATTTTTTTTATTTTAGGGTTTAGGGTTTAATTCTTAAAATTTATTTATTTTTATTTTAGTAAAATAAAAAAAATAAATTTTATCCCTAAACACTAAGGTAGCGTAAATTTTTAGAATTTTATTTTTATTTTTATTTTTAATAATTTATTTGTTAGAATTTTTTTATTATTTAAGAAATAACTTTATTAGACCAACTGTGTTTACTTTACATTAGGCATCAGTTGGTCCAAGCGTGGTTGGCAAATCAGTATTGAAATCATGGTTCACAACCACGATTTCAGAAGAAAAAGTTTTTGGTCTAAAAGCGTGACTCGAAACAACGAGTTCAGGAGAAATTTTTTTTTTCATAAAATTGTGGTTAGGAACAGCGAGTTCAGAAGAAAATTTTTTTTGGATAAAATCGTGGTTCAGAACAGCGAGTTCATAAGAAAAAAAAAATTAATTAAAATCGCGTTTTGTAACCGCGATTTCTTAATCAAAAGCGCTTTTTGTAACCACGAATTTAAGATTTACCAAGTTTCACGTGAGATAGGTGCAAATATGTTGAAATCGCAATTGTGAATCGCGAGTTAGCTTATTTTGGGAATTCTTTCAAAACTAGGCTTAGTTTGGGAATTAATTTATTATTTTAGCTTATTTAGGGAAATGGCCCCTCTTTTCCCTTTATTTTTTTAAATATATTTTTTTGGTGCTTTGGAGCTAGAGTTTTTCATTTTGGCGCCTACTTTTTTTTTCGTCATAACATTCATGACATGCATTGTGCGTAGTAAAAAGGTAATACTTTTAACGACAGGCATTGTGTGCGTCATAAAAAGTGCAATACTTCTAACAATGGGCGTTGTGTGCACTGTGAAAAGTGCAATACATTTCACAGCTGGCGTATATGCGTCGTGTCGTGTATAGTTGATGTATTAACGACATGCCATATGTATGTCATAGAAAGTTTTATTATTTACGGCAAACATTGCAAGCCATAAAAAAATCAACATTACTACCATTCACGGCCTACACAATAGACACGCTGTGGTTGGAAAATTATTTATGACGTGCAAGCAAGTCGTAAAAGTGAGAAACCACGGCTTGCATTTATTGTATGTCGTTGATGTGAAGCCGTAAAAACCCAGTTTTGTTGTAGTGCCAGAGAAGTTCTTCTTACTTGACTCATCTTTGTCCAACACTAAGAGAACAAAGATCATGGAATTTTTGATGTCCAATATCGAAGAGTTTGCCTAGATGCCATACGATATGCCTGACATTGACCTAAACTTCATCTGTTATCAACTTAACGACGACCCTACCGCCAGACCAATCATACAGTGAACATGCAAGTCGGCTCTACATCATGCCAAGATAATAGCTAAAAATGTGGGAAACCTATTGGACGCAGGGGCGATCAGAGAGGCTCACTATACCAAATGGATCTTTAACACTGTGGTGGTGTCCAAAAAGAATGACAAATGGTGCGTTTGTATGGACTACAAAAAGGTCAACAAAGCATGTCCAAAAGATAGTTTTCCTCTACCAAGGATAGACTAACTAGTGGACCTAACTGCAGGCCACAACGGACTTAGCTTTCTTGATGCATATTGTCGATTCCATCAGATTGCTATGTATGAACTGAACCAAGAGGTCACATCCTTCACGACTCCAAGGGGGTTGCATTGCTACAAGGTCATGCCTTTTGGCCTAAAAAATGCAGGGGCAACATTTCAGCGAACGGTCACCAAAATGTTCGAACTATTGTTAGGCAGAACAATGGAGGCTTACATTGACGACATGGTGGTCAAAAGTAAGAATGAAGCAAACCATCTCATCGACCTAGCTGAGATGTTTCAAATTTTGAAGACCCACAAGCTGCGCTAAATGCTTCCAATTGTGCATTTGGCGTGGGGCCAGGCAAGTTTTTGGATTTCTAGTGACCAACCACGGTATAGAAGCAAGTCCCTCATAAATCAAGGTTGTTTAAGAGCTCGAAAGGCCTAACACGGTCATGGAATTGCAACACTTGACAGGCCTGGCTACCACACTAAATCGATTCATAAGTCGGTCGTCAGACAAATGTTAACCATTCTTCCGGGTGCTTAAAGCAAAATTTGAGTGGAATAAAGAGTGTGACCGAGCTCTGGAGAGATTGTAGGAGTGCTTGACCTCTCCGCCACTATTAGCAACCCCAATGCTTGGAAAGGAACTTTACTTGTACTTGGTGGTTTCCCAACATGCAGTTAGCACAGTGTTGGTGTGCGCATAAAGAATACAACACTTGACCATTTTTTATGTAAGCAAAATAATCATAAGCATCGAAACAAGGTACTTGCCATTAGAGAAGCTTGCTTTAGCTTTAATAATGGCTTCGAGAAAACTGTTGCACTACTTTCATGTGCACACTGTGGTCGTATTAACGACATTCCCTCTAAAAGCCTTGTTTGAGAGGGCAGACTTCTTTGGAAGAATACTGAAGTGGGCAGTAGAGTTGGGACATTTTGATATCAAATTCTAAGCCAGAACGGCAATAAAGGCCCAAGCCTTGGTAGACTTTGTGGCAGAGTTTGCTCCAGGAAGTTACTCTATTTGTTCGATCAACTTGACAAAAGAAACTGGACAAAGAGGGGAAGTGTCGTAGGAATAGCGCATCCTTCATAGCAAGTTGATCAACAGCATAAAACACCATTAAGCCTAACAGTGGCTGTACTGTCCACTAAGGCTAACAACATAATGCCAATGAAGGAAAGAGTAAGCCGCACAATTACAAACGCAATTTGCGAAGATATGCTTGAAAGGGAAATGGTAAGGCAATTGAGCAGAAAGGACAAAGTCCATACGGCAGACAAAGACTTGAAAGAAATCACCGATGTACCAGATCCTAAAGCATCTTCGGACCCATTCACATGCTGGAAGTTGTTCATAGAAGAGATGTGGAAGCTCTTCGTGGATGACATGTCTAACAGACATGGCATTGGACTTGGGATAGTCCTCATCTCGCCAGATGGATTGACCATTGAACAAGCAATCACACTTGGATTTCCAGCATCCAATAATGAAGCGGACGAAGCATTATCAGCCGATTTAAAGTTAGCCTACCGAATCAAGGCCACCGAGCTAATGGTGTACAGCGACTCCTAATTGGTCGTCAACCAAATATCAGGCGACTATGAAGCAAAAGATGACAGAATGGCCAAGTATCAGGAGCTAATCAGAAATGAGACCATGAAATTCGAAGTCATGATGATAGAACAAATCGGCCAAGAGAAAAATAGCAACGCAGACGAATTGGCTGATTTTGTGTTGATGGTAGACATTTCTATCCCACATCCTTAGCTAATTGACTTCCTACCAAAACCGAGCATCGAGGAACCTGAAGCAGTCGAGGTATTATGCGCCGAGCTAGGTCCGTCCTCGATGGACCCCATCATCACCTTCTTGAAAGATAGGATTTTGCCAGAGGATAAGAAGGAGGCAAATATGATTCGAGCGAAGTCACAACAGTTTTGGCTTTCTCCATCTCTAGTGCTACACAAAAAGTCC